GCTTGCAGGAGTCTGGAAGATACAGGTCCTACAGGCAGTGGAGAGGGTGCCCAGGGCCCTGCCTGCCTCTTGGGAGTCCGGCGTGAGCCCCTGGGTGGTTCTGAGGGTGGTGCCCAGGCATTGGGTTCATTAAAATGGGCACATGCTCTTCTCACCTCTTCAAGTGATGTCTGTGTAAACACTCTCTCTCAGGGTCCTGTGTGTGTCACATTAAACAAACACCAGAGGACAGATTCACCAGAGGACAGCATAAAAGTTATGCTTTTGTATGTGTATGATGGGGAGTGTTGTAAGGAAGCAGAGGTCCACAGGTGTGGCAACCCCTGCACATTGGTATTAGGGTAGAACAAAGAAGCCATAGTGGAGAAGCAGGAACGGTTGCAGCAGGTCTGCACAGATGCTCACTGTAACCCACTGCAGGATGCTTCCCTCCTCCCCACCAGGGGCTTCACCTCGGATTCCAGGGGACTAACTGCTCTGCCACACCTGTGGGGACTGAGGCATTGTCTTGTGATCACCCTGTGCCCCACCCCCACTCTTTGTCACCTGAACCTCGTGGGTCCCAGCCCTGATTGGGTCAGAGCTCCCACACTTGGCGCCCTCCGCTGTGTGCTCTGGCCTGGGAGGGACTGCCCCTCATCTTCTGCACAGGGTCCTAAGAGGTCTCTCCTCTCAGGTCCCTTTCTGGGGTTATCCCTGTGCCAGGAGGACTGTGGACGTATGGATGGGTCCCTGCCTGGGCTGCCCTGTGGGGGAACGAGAGTGGTCCCTGTGAACTCGGAGAGTCAGCCATTGTCATGGTGGCCAGGACAGTGGCAGGGCCAGCAACTTCCGTATGGCCTGCCGAGGCGCATGTCTGTCAACTGGGACCCCACCAAGGGAGGGGGAGGTCAGGGGGTCGGTGGCTTCCTCACACCCTACGGGTATGAGGAAGGTACCAAGGTGGAACCTACCATCAGGGCCAGGGACCTACCATGACACCTCCCACCCACCTCAGGAGGCTGGGGCCAGGATGGAGGCCAGGGCCAGGATGACAAGTGGTTTCTGGGTGGGAGGGGCTAGCCATACAAAGAAGGGAATGAGAACTCCCTAATCCCCAACTAAACCTGGTAGGGTGGGCCAGCAAACTGCCAAGCCCAGCAGGCTGGGCAGCATGGCCCCAGGCGGGAAGGGACTATGGCATGCTGCATCACCCACCACTGTTTGCAGACAAGTCGCCCCGTTTAGTGGTGGCCAGTGAACAGGGTCAGGACTCTCCAGTCTGTTGAAACAGACGTGGTGGGAACTGGGCAGCGAGTATGGTGAATGGCAGTGCCCCAAAATATGTCCACGGCTTAACTCCTGGAGTCTGTGAAGTGAGGTTTTCATAGATGGATCGAGGACCTGGGGGTTAGCCTAGACGCAGGCTGGGCCCTAACTCAAGGGCCCGTATCTACATGAGGAAAGCAGGAGGGCTCAGACGAAGTGACAGTGACATCAGACAGCAGAGCCTGGAACAGAACCCTCTGCCCAACAGCCATTGAGAGCTGGGCACCCAGGCGTGGGTTCTCCCTGGCCTTCCCATGGCCATAGGTTTCCAGACTCCATGATGGGCGAGAAGAGGAACAGCTCTTCAAAGCTTCTGGTTCTAAGGCCAGGAAGAGGAAGCGGCTGGGACTCATAACCAGGAAAAGGAAGTGGCTGGGGCTCATCTCATACCCAGGAAAAGGAAGTGGCTGGGGCTCATCTCATAACCAGGAAGAAGCAGCAGCTGGGGCTCATCTTATAACCAGGAAGAGGCAGTGGCTGGGACTCATAACCAAGAGGAAGCGGCTGGGACTCATAACCAGGAAGAGGAAGCAGCTGGGGCTCATCTTATAACCAGGAAGAGGAAGCAGCTGGGGCTCACCTCATTGCCAGGAAGAGGAAGTGGCTGGGGCTCATCTTATAACCAGAAAGAGGAAGCAGCTGGGGCTCATCTCATAACCAGGAAGAGGAAGCAGCTGGGGCTCATCTCATAACCAGGAAGAGGAAGCGGCTGGGGCTTATAGCCAGGAAGAGGAAGCGGCTGGGACTCATCTTATAACCAGGAAAAGGAAGTGGCTGGGGCTCACCTCATTGTCAGGAAGAGGAAGTGGCTGGGGCTCTCATAACCAGGAAGAAGAAGCAGCTGGGGCTCACCTTATAACCAGGAAGAGGAAGCAGCTGGGGCTCACCTCATTGCCAGGAAGAGGAAGTGGCTGGGTGGGGCTCTCATAACCAGGAAGAGGAAGCAGCTGGGGCTCATCTTCTAACCAGGAAGAGGAAGTGGCTGAGCTCTGCTAATTCCTCCCAGGCCATGTCTTCTTGTCTCCAGCACTAGCAAGGGACTAAGCTTGGGAACACAGAAGATCTAGTCTACAGCAGGCCAGCCTACCAGAACTGACTGATATGTAGCCAGTGTAATAGAGGAATGGTTTATACAACTACATGTGCTTAGTGGCATTATATCAGACCGTGAAGCCCTATAGCAATCATTAAAAAGAATACACAATGTGGAGGTAGTAAGAAGCAAAAATGGCAAATACAAGTAAAAAGCCAAAAAATAAAAATTAAAAAAAAAACAAGTCAAAGGCCATCTGTCAGAATGGATAAAAATGTAATGCTTAACTCTTAAGGGACCTGCCACAAATTCACCCTAAACAAAATGGCACAGACAATGCAAAAGGAGAGGAAAAGGTGTCTCAAGTAGACAGTGACCACAGGAGAAGTGGTGGGTGACCTCAGCATCAGTCTCCAACAGAAAGACAGTATCTTGGGCAGGTTTTGGATGCGATTAATTCAGGACAAACAGGCACACACATCTGTGGGTGCCAGACTAGTGTCTGGCAAGTCCCAGGAGCATAGGAATGACTTAACTTGCAAAGGGAAAGGAGAAATGTTACACTATGTAAGAGGTTTTGGAAGTTTGTTGCAGTTTGTGTTTACTAGGGACAGCCGTCACAGGCCAGCGGGCTGTCTGCTGGACAGTGTCCTGTGAGGAGTGCCTACCTATCCTGTTATCTAAAGAGCTGTGTACTGAGGCTTGCCCTCCAGTCTATCAGGGCTTGACCCCATTGTGAATGTTCACCTTGGTACCAAAGCAGGCATCAGAATGACTGTGAAGGCAGAATCCCCTTGGCACAGAGCCTCAATCTGCTATGAAGAAACAATCTGGCATGCCTCACGCCCCCAACAGCTCAAAACCCATAAGGCCTGTGGACCTGGCAGCCAATGCCAGTCCCAGCTAACATTCCAGCATCTCTTTCTTGGCAAGTAGTACAACAGTGGAAAGAAAGTCAGTGAGGCTGAGGACTTAGTAAATAGTAGTATGTTCAAAGAGACAACTGTGTAATACCACCGTACTTTCTACTCAAGAGTTCGCAAGAAGCTGGGTGCTGCTAGTGGCTCACACCTGAAATCCTAGCTCCTGAGAGCTTGAGATCTGAGGATCAAGGTTCAAAGCCATCACGGGCAGGAAAGTCACTGAGACTCTTACCTCCAATTAAGCTACCAAAAAGCCAGAAAGTGAGCTATGGTTCAAGTGGTAGAGGGCTAACCTTGAGCAAAACAGCTAAGTGACAGTGCCTACATCCTGAGTTCAAGCTACATAACTAATGTGCGTGCGTGTGTGCGCACGTGCACGCGCGCGCGCACACACACACACACACACACACACAGAGTTCATAATAAACACACCAGGTGAATGACGGGGTGACAATGTCTAAAGAGAAATATACTGTTTACTTGATTTATAGTGACATCACCTTTATAACAACAATTAAAAAAATGACATGCCACATGCTAGACCAAGAAACAAGTCTGACAAACTTGAAAGGCTTAGATTCACACAACATTGTTGGCTGATCACAAATGATTTAAGGGGAAAAAAATCAGTAACAGAGCTAATCTGGAAAATGTCCAAATATCTGGAAACAGATTGCTTTCTAAGGAACACCTGGGCCAAGGAATTATAACTGTTAGGAGAAATGAAAACAAACATCTGAACCTGTGGGACACAGCTCAAACGCTGTCTCAAGGAAGAATTACAGCTCTAAATGCTTAGAAAGCTTCTGAACCAAGAAGCTAAGCTTCCATTTTAAGAATCTAGAAAAAGTTAAACTCAAAACAAGTCCAAGAAAATGTATCAAATTAATGAAATAAAAAGCAACAGAGAAAAGCCGTGAGCTCCAAAGCTGACTTTCTGAAAGGATGAACACATATCAATCTTGAGTTGAGATTACTCAAGGCAAAGAGAAGACAAAATCCCCCGTCTCAGTAGAAGCACTTCCCACAGAGCCAACATACAGGACAAGGGACTACCACCACACCTAGTCCATTAAATTCTGACAGCTGTAAACACATTAACCCTGGGGTAGGTATCTCATAACCAAGCTACAGTGCAAGGTCCTAGGAGGAGGAGCAGGCTCAGTGCTCATGAACATCTCTAGTAAATGCAAAGTCGAGAGAGATACTGAAACCAAAACAAGAAGATTCTAAAAACAGGTTTAATATTTAAAACGTTTATGACACAGGCATCACTCCCTTTACAAGTGGGCTTTTTGTACAAAGCATTAATGTAAAATTTACTTCACCATGAGAAAAGGATGTGATAGTCTATCAAATGCACCTACTCATTTTACACCTGGCACATTGTGAAGAAAGCAAAGAGCAGAAACTGGTAAATACTGCCGCGCTTCACACACCCACGGAGGGCCTGATCTCTGAAGATCCTATCTGACTGCTACGGGAAAGCACACCAGGACCCTTTCTCCACTGCTGTATCATAGGAACAACTGAATAAAACCAGCTCCTATCAGAAAGCAGATTCCTCTGTGACCTGCCCACCTTTCGTGCTGTGACTGCACACTTACTTAGGTGGACTGTCTTTCTCTTGTTTCTATGAGAGCTATGTTGCTTACTTTAGTTTAAACGATCTTGTTAACAACCTGTGTCTGGTGGGCTAAAGGCAGGATGGAATAAACATATTTAAGTGGCACACAGAATTTGCATTCTTTTAAAAATTAGAAATGACAAGCCATTGTCTTCTAAGTATGCGCTTAAAGCAGCGCAAGTACATGCCTTCCGGTGACAATGTGCTCCGGCCACAGGCCTTGGTGGCTTGCAGAAAGAAGTGCGTCTGAAGCGTCACACACTCTGGTTCTTCAGAGAAAACCAGGGGGCTGCAGAGTCAAATGTGGGTGGAAAGCTTCTTTTTTTCTTCAAACTGCTTGTCCACTGCCAGAGACAGGGCCTGAAGGAACCCCTCAATGGTGACAGTAGGTGCCTGGAAGGACAGTCAGGGCTAGCTGGTTCTACCAGCAGCCACACCCCACCCACATGCAGACTATGCGGAAGCTCAGGTCCGGTTTGTACCACACCCATCAGGATGAAGCTCAGGCCCACTGCAGGGACCCAAACTTTATCTGTTCTCTTCAGATGAAGTGAACACTGTAACCCACACAACTCTGTTTCTAGGAGAACAGAAACGGCTGACAACAGGAGTCAGCCACCAACTCACTGGGGCTGTGGGGCCCCAGGCCCTGCTTCGTAATAACCAAGAGCCACTAGACTCTGATGTCCTGTGTCAAATGGCTCCACTCATGCCTCGTGGTTGTCTGTTACCTTGGTGCTGAACCCCAGGCCCAGAACAGGGGCTGCTACTGGCTGGGTGGAACACCAGGCCACCGACCTAAAAGAACCTTTTCAAGATCCATGTTTTATTGTCGACGATGTCAGATACTCAAGGGGCCTACTGGCCACTGTGGGAATATCCTGGGTGGAAGGGCCTGAGCCCTCTGAGGGGCCCAGGACTGGACAGGAGGAAGTATGGCCTGAGCCCACTGGGCAGGAAGAGCTGTGGCCAGAGCCACCGTGGCATGTGTGTATGTGGGCATGTTTGTGTGGTAGAGCTACTTCCTTCTGAGAACTCACTGCCCCAGGACCATTGAGGCACCAGGGCCCATGGACAAGCGTGTGGGAAAGCTGAGCCCCTGGGAGGACGGGGTGGGAGACTCACCTGGATATACAGCGCGTGAGCCAGAAAAGGGAGCTTCCTCAGGACCCGGCCACTGAGCCCCTGGCTCTTCCTATAAAAGTAGCTACATTCAGAGACACGACTTCACATAGCAACACAAACACTTCAGGACTAATTCTACTCATTACTGTGAAGCCTGCACCCAAAGGCTGGCTGAGTGACCCAAAAGCACAAGCCACTGGGCCCTTCAGACGGGCTGTCCCTCATTCTGGGCTCCAGATCCAGGTGGGGGCTGGCAAGGCTCTCCAGACACGAGGGCTGACGTCACAAGGAGGCAGCCACCAGGAGATCCCCAAGCATACAGGCAGGTTCACAACTCCAATGTTTTTTGTGTGTGTGACAGTCCTGGAGTTGAACTCAGGCCCTGAGTACTGTCCCTGAGCATTTTTGCTCAAGACTAGAGTTTTACCACCTGAGTCACAGCTCCACTTCTCAATATTCGGTGTTTAACTGGAAGTAGAAGTCTAGTAGATTTTCCTGACTGGCTTTGAACCATGATCCTCAGATCTCCACCTCCTGAGCAGAGGATTAAAGGTATGAACCACTGGCACCAGCGATGTAACTTCAACTTTTGCAGGAATATACTGTTTTCCTCATCTTCAATTTAAGTCTTTTCGAAAGATGATCCAAATCTAGGAGAACTGCATTTTTTTCAATCAAAGCCTCCCATACATTCTAATTGTTTAAGAATACAGTTCAAACTCTGGCCAGAGATCTGACTGTTCCCAGCATATCCTCACCGCTGCAGCCTCGAGCACCATCCACAAGTGGGGCCTACACCAACAACTGCAGCCTCTCCAACTTCACTCTGTGCAGTCTCGTCTCCTGGGCTCGGTCCTTCACACTCCCTCAGCACCAAGGTTCTCCCTCACCTCTTTCCCATCAGTCTCTGCCTCTGGTGCACATGCCAGCTGGTCTCATGCTCATGTACTGAGGTGGCTGTGTGTTCATACATAGGTGTGCACTTGCACACCCACCTCTGCAGTGTGTTAAGAACTTACTTCCTTGGCCCTCCCAAGGAAACAACATCAATTAATTCAGAAAATGTCTTTTTTGCCATTCACACACACACACACTCATCAACCACAAAAATACCACCCTTGATTCACACCTTGAAATTTCACTCAAAAGCAGGCTCAGCTTTGACACGTTGTTCTCAATGAAGCCAATCATCTCCAGCTCCCGGAGGGTCAGTAGCTGCTGGCGGGGGTATATGATCTGGCACTGAGGAACAGAGGCACAATCAGTTACAGCACAGTCCACGCAAAACAGCAAAAGAGCCGGTAACAGCATGTACAAGGCAGTGCCATCACACCCCAACTTATGCAATCTGGTTAGCAAGGACTCCTCACGGATACAGGTTCTTCAAAAAAAGATGCTGCAGATAATGAAACCAGGAGCAGCCCTTTGCCAAAAGGGTCCCTCGCTGTACTTCAGGTTCTTCAAACAGGAGGTGTGCCGAACCCAGGGCCTTGAAGGCTTACAAGGGTTCTGCCTGATGTGTGTCTTCAGCTGCATCTAGGTTAGCAGAGTGACACAGGTAAGAAACTAGACCCATTGTTGTTGTTTGCCAGGCAGTGTCACCGAACGGTCTCCACGACCAAGGACGACCATGAAATTCCTTCTGCACGTTTGGGGGTTAATTGAGGGTTCTGGTAGTGTTAAGCAGCAGCGTCCTCCCCGCCGACTCACTAAGCAACATGGTGGACCGAGGGGGTGGGGTGGTGGAGAACCCACTCCAAATGTCCCAGGCCTCACCGGGCCTTGTACTTGTCAGACAAGGGCTAGACAACACACTTGAAAGAGTAGGGCCTACTTGCTTCCCAGTGGCTTTTATGACTGAACAAATGTCCACTGCAGACATTCCGTGCTTCCAGAAGAGGTCTGCACCTTCAGGTCAATCCTTAGCTCATCATCTCCCAAAGCCAGTGCCCAGGTCATACGATGACTGAAGACCACATCAAACGTGCTCTGATGGCCCCAGTACATAGGGCCTGTCTCATGCTGGCTGTCCTCAGCAGAACTGTTTACATTTCCTCCCATTACACACACTTGAATCAAAGACCCACAGAGCCAGGACAGGATGTCTGTGTGCCACAGTGCTGGCCTGGGCATCCTCCTGGGCCTCTGCCCAAACCAGCTCCTATCCCTGCACAAGGAGGCCTCCTCCATCCTGTGGTATCAGACAGGGCTCATGGAATTCCACCCTGCTAGCTGACGGCAAAGACTCTACCAGTTATCATTATCAATGCCCGCTGGCTAACTCGCTTGGTCAATACCCAGGCTCCCTACTCCAGGCTCCCAGCAGGAAATGTCTGAAACATTGGATGCCAGGGAATCACAGCTTTCAGTCAGTGACAGTGCTGTGAACTATGAGTCAGATAATGCCCTGTGAACCACACCCGCCACTGTAAGGAAAGCTGGCCTAGCAAGCCAATCACCTGCTATGCGTTGTGTCAAAAGAACAACAATACTGACTTGTAGGCACAATTTAGGTCATTAGCTCAACCTGGCAGACTTTCAGTGTTAAGAAAACAGTTAAGGCCTATGTTGAAATGCCTTACTCTACACCAAAATTCAAATTGTTTTAACTATGCTAATTAACTAAGAATATGTAAGCAATCCAGGGATTAAGAAGGAAAGAAATAATAAAGCACCTTCATTAGTTCTTCCAAACAAGAGAGGTAGATTTTGAAGATGGCTGCCGCAGAGGGTGGCCCGATGTACTGTTTGATGTCAGCTCTGTCCACAAAGGCCACATCGATCTTCTCGGTGATGTTGGAGGTGGTCAGAATCACCACATTGGAATGCCTGTGGTGGCCACAAGGACTTGTCACTGTCTGCCTGAGGTTAAGTCGTACACGGCCCTGCCCAAGAGTGAGGGGACAGGCAGGAGGACTGGCCACTGGGCTTCTGGTTTGAGAAAGGCTCAGTAGCTTCCTTCTGATGACCATGGTCTGAGAGAGCCATCTCTGACAGACCTGCAGTCAGTATGAAAGTTCCAGCCTCTGAGAGGGGCTCTTCTAGCTGTAACACACTGTTGAGTAGACTATCTCCAGGGAAAAGACTGACTGCTGCTTTGCTTCTAGAAAGCATTATGAGATCCTGCCCTATGGACCCTATTTGTTCCCTTACCTCCTTCAACTTTGGTGAAGGGCTCACTTCTGTATGGCACCCTGATCACTTTAACTAGCCCCTGGCTAGGGCCTGGCCTCAAAGCCGCCCCGGAGCCACTGTGCAGCAAATATACTTTGAATTAAAAGAGACAGGAGTAGGAGCTAAGTTGTGTGGTTATCACACTTCTCCATCTCTCACATAGAAGTCTCATTGCCAACCCCGAAATTACCTCTTAATCTGATCAATCTGGGTCAAGACGGCATTGACAACACGGATTGCGTCGGATGGCTCAGCACCTGCCCTACAGGCACTGCGAGCAGCTGTGAGACTTTCTACCTGTGGAACAGAGCAACAGGTCACAGAGGTCAGTGCCTGGCAATTCACCAGCCGCTGGCAGGCAGTGAACTCCAATGCTTGGGGCTATCTGGGGAAAGGATCCTACAGTACAGAGCACAGGACAGCAGTAGGTCAGTTAACGGGCAGGCAGAAGCATGAAGCCACCTGGGTACTAATCATAGCAAGAGGTACCTCAGGCACAGGCTGAGTACTTCCAAGTGCTCACCTCATCGATCAGCACAAACACCAGTGCTTCTTTATCGTCAATCAAGTCTTGGATCTTCTGGAACATCCTAGTTACCAGCTTGCCACTCTGGAACCAAAACACTCTGTGAGCAGTGCAGACTGACGTTGATGTGTTATAGGGGCATGTGGACATTGCTGGGACATATTCCCCCTGGGGGCCCATGAGACCATCTCTCCTGATAGTCCCTCAGAAGCCTCCCTGGATCCAAGGAACCAGGCCAGCACAGAGGGAGGTTAGCTCGCTTCCTGTGCCAGGGCACTTGGACTTAAGCACACCACTTGCTCTGCCCAATGTTGTCCAACACAGGTGGCTCCCTTTCTGGTCACCTGTGAACTTACAACCAGGAATGAGAGCATCATAGATGGCAATCTAGAAAGTGACCATGAATACTCCACATGAGTCCTCTGCCCACTGACTGTGTCCTGCTTTGCCACCACCACCACAGGATGCTGATACGAGATTCCCTGGGCACACAGCCTTAAGAACTGAGGAGTACCCAATGTGACACTGCTGTGCAGAAGGGTGGAAAACCTGCCGACTGTTCAGGTGTGCGGAATGTTCATCCCACCGAGCCTGAGGTTGGGGATATGGCCAATGGGGCCTCTCAGGCTCCATGTGCTTCTAATCAGATGTAGTTCTGAGTCCTCTGATCAAAGTTGGCTCCATTGTTCACTTCCCATTTTACCTATTTGTCTAAGAAGCTTTTGTGAATATTTGTCTAATACACAAGATACTGTTTTTTAAGTACATATGTAACGATTCCAACAAGTAATTAATACTTACTTCTGAAAACCACTTAGAAAACAAGCTGTGGCTGTTTATTTCAACTAATTGGCCATACCGGTACCTAAGATGACAAGAACACGGGGAGAAAATACTTTACAACCAGCCCCATGAACTTCATACCAGGAACCTGTGTTGTTTAACCCCACACTGCCACATTCTGGGACTGTAAGCTCAGTCATCACATAGCTTTTTAAAATTTTAAAAAATACAGTGCCAGCTGTGTTCTACATAATTATGAAAAATGCAACAGTTGCAATCAATAACCCTAGATTGCACAACTGAATTTTTTATAATCTCATTTGAACTAAACAGCAGAAATTCAAACTTCAATCTACTTATAATTTGTATTTCATGTTTAAAAATTCTTAAGGGCTGGGAAGGTGGCTCAGTGGTAGAGCGCTTGCCTTGCATGCCTGAGGCCCTGGGTTCGATTCCTCAGCACCACATAAGCAAAAAGAAAAAAGCTGGAAGTGGCGCTGTGGCTCAAGTGGTAGAGGGCTAGCCTTGAACTGAAGAGCTGAGGGACAGCGCCCAGGCCCAGAGTTCAGGCCCCACAACCGGACCCAAAAAAAAATAAAAATAAAAATAAAAAAATTATTAATACTAATGTTGCAAACATAACAAAATAGAAGCATCCAGAGATTTTGGGGCCTTTCTTCCTCTTTCCACAGAACTGTGAAGAGTGTAACAACACCTTTTCTAAGGTGACCATAGAGCACACCTGACCCCTGCTGACTACTCAAGTCTACCTCTCAGGAGACTAGCATATACTCTCCCCCATAAGCAAACAGGAGACAGGACTGAGGTGAGAAGCTGGCCAATGCCCAGACCTCTAGTTTTCTCATGTCACAAGTCTACTGCAGAAGTACTAACAGCATCACTGGCAGTACATTTAAACAGAAAACATAAGTCACTGTTATTATTTTATGGTTAACAGTCAATATTAAAGTAATGTTAGGTTATAAAAGGAGTCTAACAAAGGTAGGGTTGAATATGAAGCAAAATTAACTATAAAACATTTCTAGTATTTAAAAATAATTAAGTCCTGAAATACACATCTACATTTTTCTAACTAAAAAGTTACATTTCTTATAAATAGTATTTTCCCTCTTTGGTGCTTTAGGAAATTGTTTCAGATCTTTAAAACACAGATGCAGCTGGGTGTCAATGGCTCACACCTGTTATACCAGCCACTCAGCAGGGAGAATTGAAGATCATGCTTCAAAGCCAGCCGGGGCAGGAAAGACTCTTATCTCCAATAAACTACACAGAAAGAGCAGAAAGTGGTGCTGTGGCTCTAGCAGTAGAACGCTAGCCTTGAGCACAAAGAAACTGATGGGCCAGTTCAGGCCTAATTCAAGCACTAGGACCAGCAAAAACAAAAACAAAACCACAGATGCATCTCAATGTATCAAAATAAGGGCCAAATCTCAAAAACAACAGAGTAAAACCAAAGCACTGTCCCTATGTAAAAATATTTGTAAGAAAGCTTTGAAGAAACAAGATAGAGCAGCAACAGTATGTCACCATACCTCTCACAGGGCTTGCTCTTCATCTAGTAAGTACAAGATTTACCTCCCTATCTTGGACAATGAGGAAACTAGACAAAACCAGTAAAGTGACATCTGGTAAGGATGCTGCTCACAAGCAACAGAGACATGTGATTCTGAGAAAGAGCACAAGACTAAGCTCTAGTGCTGGCCCAGTTTTCTGCCCAGGCTATCTCCAGGTAGAGATCTGGAAGGAACCCAAAAGAGCACTCACACTAAACAACTTATGGGTACGGACAGGAGGTAAAAACTGGGAGACAGTGAGGGAAGGCATGAGACTGTCCAAAAGCAAATGTACTCTTTACTTGACTTAGGAAACAGCAACTCCTCTGTACATCACTGTTATCATAGCAATCAAAAATTAAAACATGATCAAGAACTGGGGAAAAGCAAATCAACAGAAACAGAACACTAAAACTGCTCTTGGAACTTGCAATGACAGACTGGTAGGCAAAAATACCGAAACTGTTATTATCAACTTATTCAGGATTCTGAGGAGCACATGAGAGAAAAGGAAGGCATAAAAAGAACCAAATAGAATATCTTCAGAGAAGAATAATACATTGTAGAAATAAGAATATCACCAAATGGAATTAAAAACAGGTTAGACACTGCAGAAAATCAGTGAACTTGAACATGTAGTGATAGATGTTACTCAATACTAAACAGTGACATTTTAAAAAATCTGAAAAAATTATGTAAGGCACATCAGTGGCTTGTGGATACCATATCAAGCAGTTTATCAATCACTGGCCCCTGAAGAAATGTTTTCCAAAGGTGGTAAAAATCCTGAAACTGAAAGATCTCAAGGAAAAGCAGTCAAGATCGATCACACGATCTAGGCTTCTTCTCTCAGTATGTGAGAAAATGACAGGCAGACAGAAAACACAGATGGCTGTGGAGCACCCTCTGCCACTGTACAGTACAACCATACATTAACAAACACCAGCTTTCAAGTGTCCTTGACAGACCAAGTGCACCAGGACAGACAAGGCTGCCATACCAGGAGGGCTGGTGTCCTTGATGCGACTGAATCTAACTGGAGACCATGCTGGGAACAGAGAATGAAGTGGCCTACAGCAATAGGAGCAAAGTATAAAGTGATTTATGACTCGTGCATGATGAGTGCAATTAAAAAGAGCTTTAAACTACATGAATCCCATTTCTGTGGCTTTCCCTCCTCAGATCACCAGTTACCTGCTAGACAGTCGGATGGTCAGTTTCTGGGCCAGTGCCTTGCACAGAGATGTCTTTCCAGTTCCTGGGGGACCTGTGGTAAGCAAAGCATACCCATTTTTAAGCCAGTGCCGCCACATTTCTTTAAACACTAAGTATAATACTGACAGGACAGAAAGGAAACGAATTACTAGAAATACTACTATTAGCTTACACTGGAGAGGCTAGAAGCTATTACCACAACAGTTTCAACTCTTTCTTCCTAATCGGGATGCAACCTGCAGCCAGCACACTGCTTCCTGACCAGCTGCCATTCTCAGCCTTCCAAGCAAACACCGCACTTTTCTGTCTACATCCATCTCTGTCCTCTCCTTCCTCTATGAAGTCCACTCATCAACGTGCCTTTCTGATAAATGGATGTAGCATGCCACTTCACTAGGACTGTATTTCTGAAGCACCACCATCTTCACTGTGGATAACCCTGAGGGTTTGTTTGCACACTGCACTAGATCAGGAAAGTAGTAATACAGTCTAGACCTCAAGTGTCCCATAGAGGATTATTCTCCAAAAAGATGCTGCTGGGATCTTTGAAAGTGGGCCTGCGAGAGGTTTTAGCATTGGGAGCACGACCCTTGAAAGACACCTTGGGAACCATCTCTTCCTCTTTCTCCTTCCCAGTGCTGGGATGGAAGACTTAGCCCTGCCATGGGCTCCTGCCAGAAGGGGCTGCTTCACCATGGCCCAAACTGGAAGGCCGTGACCACGGACTGCGGGGCAGAATAAAGCTTCTCCTTTGCTAAGACAATCATCTCAGGGCTTCATTATAATGGAAGCTGATACAGCAGTCACTCCATTTAAGTCTCTTTCTGGTCCTGTGGATAAACTGAAGTGCACAGAGTTGGAAGGAAGAATGCCCCAGCACAACATAGAGACACATTTAACTAGGTGTTCTTATGCTTTGCCAAGAAGGAGAGATCATACACAATCCCAAACTAACTAAAACACTCAGTGACTGCCTTGTCTGAGGCGGATGGTATGCTGGTGACATCTGACACAAGACCCTTTTTGAAAAGATCATGGGCAACATGGTTCTTTTGTTATTGTTGGTGATGGTATTTTTACTTTTGGTTTGTTTTTAGGAGGAGGGCAAAGGGAGGAGCTTAGAAATTGAGGGAGGGTGGGTGAGCAAATGCAGTCATGGCTTTGAGCACACACTATGTGGAAAATGAACTATGCAGCTTGCGGGGCAGATATGGGAGCAGGAAACTGAAGGAAGGCAAAGGAAGGAGTGACACTGCCTCAAAAGCATTGTACTCATTACCTAACTTATAAACTGCCTCTGTACAACACCTTAACAACAAACTTACACTAAAAAACAAAAAGATCATGGGAAATCATAAAATCTTATTGACATAAAGAGGATAATGTAATTTACTCTGGCCTCCTGCTTGCCGTCATTTTGTACTCCCTTGACTGTCATCAATTTTTCTCTCCACTATAATTGAAGGACCAAAAAGCCCCAAAGCCCTGTTATAAAATGGAGGGAAGAAGGGTGAGCAAATGCAGTCAATGTATTCAATGTACACTATGTAAAAATTATATGACATAAGTGAGGGTAGGGATGGAATGGAGGAGGACGATGAAGTGTGACATTAAGATGTAGTATACTCACAACCTGACTTCTGGAATTGACACCCCTTTGTACAACTATTTAAAAAACATTATTTATTAAATGTCTTTTGTAAACTATTTTCACAAAGTAAAGTTCTAAGAACCCCTAGAAGTAGGAGACAGATTTTAGTGTAAGGAATTATAACCAGCTGGGAAATAAGGCAGTTAATGTAAAAAAAACAAACAGAGTCCTAAGGCAGTAATAATCAGCTATCATGAAGATCTGGGTAAGAAATGTCTATGTCACAGAAGAACAGGATGAGGTTCTTTAAACGAACAAAGAGCTGTAACGGCGCAGAAGGACAGAGTTACAGGTACAGGCCCCTGTGGCCCATCTTGTCACATAAGCACTTGCACATCTCACCATGCAGAAGCACCACTCGGTTCCAGCTGATGATGTTGCTGTCAACATTCTTGTCTGAGAAGAGTAAGGTGGTCATCACATAATCAAGGAGCTTAACCAAAAAAGCAAAAACAAGAGAACAAGTAAAGGTACCACTATGGCAAAGGCTCCAAATAAATATGCTGTTAGGACTTGCTTCTAGAGAAGGAGCAGGGGCAGTGTTGCCACCTCTGAGGGCGTGTCATTCTAAACAGTGATCATCTCATGTCACAGCCTTCCATTCTAGAAGGTATTTCAAAAGGTAAGAGGGTACATGTTGGCTGTGACTGTTACAAAAAAAAGTAACAAACTAATCACCCTACTTAAAAGGTCAGCATGAAACCAGTGGCTAAGGCACTGCTCCTGGGGCAAGCTTCCCACGGGAACAGCACAGCAGACACAAAGGTACCTGTTGTGAGTCTTAGCAGCCACCCTGAAGTCCCAGAAAGCCCACGAAGGGAGTCAGATGCACCTGTCTTCATCTGGACTTGCCTACCTCATTCATTCCTTCTGTCTCCTTCAGGAAAACAAGCTGCCCTCATCATTTTTCCTTACCCTTCCTCCCTCAGAGACTATCCCCAGGCTGGGACCTTGCAGGACAAATATCAGGACGTGCTATTGGTAGCAGGGTTTCCCTATGGCTATGAGCCCAAGAGCTGGCAACGCTGTGGGGCAGTGGGAGTCACAAACACTTACATGTGATTTGACTTCCACATCATACACTAGGCTGTCCCAAAGCCCATGGAACTCAGCTGTGAGAGAGAATAAAACAAAGCCCTAATTTTAGGAAGTGAGTAAACACATGGTCAGCTCCATCCACATCCAATGCCTGCCCCTGCTCCATTGCTTCAGACTGAGATTCTACCAGAAAGTTCAGTACTTTCAAATTTCAGTTTTCTTCTTAAAATTAGAGATACAAAATGTATGTGCCAGAATGTATGTGACAGATAAAGTGAGGTGAACAGATCCTTTTGTCTTATCACATAGTCATCTTTTGTGGACTAGTGCTTTAACAGCTCTCCTTACAGAGCAGGCTGAAGTAGCTGCTAGAACCCAGCAGCAAAGCTCCCGGAGGAGAGAACAAAAGCCCCCAGAGGACAGAGTAAGGAAGAAGAACAGCTCGTCAGGGAGGACCACACAGGCGGAACACGAAGCATAGCAACATTCTCAGTGAGCTGCTGAAGTGCCTGCTCGTGCTTTCTTCTGTGACTATACACTCTGGATCTAGAACGACCCTCAAGGCACTTGGGTTAAAGGACTGGTCTCCAGCTTGGTGGTGTTGGGAAGTGCTATTATATTAAAAAAGGTAGAGCCTAGTGTGTGTGGGAGGAGGCATGAGGTCATCTGTGGGGAGTGCTCCTAAGGAAACACTAGGACACGGATCTTCTGTTCTCCACGTACCTGAACATGAAATGAACAGGCCCACTCAGCCACGCATTTCCATACCCGGCACCCTCCGGCCATAAAATGGGAGCCAATTGGGAATAAGCTAACACCTGTAAAACTAAGAGCAATAACCCTTCTCCTTGTAACCTAATTATCTTAAGTAACTGTTACAGTTATAGAAACTAGCACTGTGATATATTTTTCATTTATGAAGAGATAAAACATCCTAAAATCATACAGAACAACTTCCTCAGCAAAGTGGATTGACCCCATTGGCACATATCATCTTCTGATCTCAGCCATGACTGGCGCCTCGTGCCTACAGGCAGTGCCCAGTAGTCTCTGTCAGACCCCACACCATGACTGACACCCTATACCTGCAGGCAGAACCCAGTGATTTGCTGCAATTATATTTTCTGTCTCTTCCTCCAAGTTTTCACTGATGGGGCCATCTTCATTCAACTGAAAAATGTGAAGTGCAGTGGTGCATGCATTCAAATCAATGGGCTGTCAATGAGAAGGCAAAATCAAATAAAGCTACACAATTCAAAGGCCATCCCTTTTAATACTGGCTGTACAAATTAGATGCTAAGGTCTAAAAATATGCTAAGTACATAGTACATTTAAAAACAAGTTTCAGAGTAAATGGAAAGTCTTTAATTTCAGACTCAGTTCTTTCTAAGATGTGTATTCATCCCTCCTCCTTTGGACCCTTATTTCTATTAAAAAAAGGAAAGAAAACAAATCATTGCAAATAAGCACATGCATACTGAGAAAAAAAATGCAAGCAGTATAGGAGAAGAAAGGACCTACATCCAAACTTAGGTATTCAACAATACAATCATACAAGCCTAGCTAGGCATGAGTTTTTTCATGTATACTTTTCCTTTTTTATCTTTGGACTGGTTTCCATCTGTAATGGTCAAATGTGTTTACATGGTTTGGGTATGATACACACACAACATGATTGCCTGTCAGTCCTGCTCACGTGGTTGAAGCAGTGGAAGTACTGTCAAGCACACACACTGGGAAGTTAATGCATGCTCCCTTTCTATAGCTGGGAAGATGCATAATACCTTCCCATAGGACTGGGGAGGAGGGCTACAGGCCTCCTCCTGAACAAAACTAGACACACATGTCATCTGAAAATATCCTACGGAGAATACTTCTATCTCCTTATATACTTATCTGGCCACTTACTTTCATCTCTCTGGCTCATCTGTTTTATGTACTGTGCAGTAATCTAATACGACTCTGCTGCTTGTTCCAGATTTGCCCACTGGGAGCTCATTCAGGTTGGCTCCTATTTTCAGGTGACAAGTCCTCACCTTTTCTTTTCTGAGCACTTTATTACTTTCTGGTACTACAACATGACTCACATTTTCTTATCAGTTATAGGGCTATAAGTGGGGATGGGGAGGGCAAATGGAGAGGGTAAAGGAGGGCAAGAATGGCCCAAGTCCTTCTTATGCATGTAGGACAATACAAAATAATGAAATCTACCGTAACTGTTTTAAGAAAGGGAAAAGATAAATCTGATCAGGAGATACTATGCATGTATAGAAGTGTCATAATGAAATCTCTCTTATACAACCAATATATACTAATAAATTATGAATAGAGAAAAGAAACAAATAGGATATATACTGGGAGAGAGTGAAGGAAGGGGTGACACTATCCAAAAAGAAATTATCCAATTTATGAAATGGTAACCCCTTTGTACATCATTTTATAATTTTTAAAAAGAAGGATATATAGTATCTCATAATTTGCATTCCAAATGTTTAGGCTTTAACGGCAAAGTAACAATATGAGAAAAGACATTCAAGAAACTGAGCAGATACCAATGCTAAGAGGAATAAAGATGCTGCCCAAGAGATAATAGCTACTATACGTAACTTTGCATGATGTGTCTGCTATCACCTGATATGGCATATATTCTTCAAAATTTTCTTTATTTTGTTCTAGCCAATCTTGTTACTTGTGTTTCCAAGCTTAATCTTGCATTATAGTGACTATTTCCTGTTCAAATGGCTGTGTTGTTTCTTCCTTATGACTGGACCCTGAGTTTCCAGAAAAGGGGGGTGAGGGGGTTGCCCCTAGAAGTGTTTGACATCCTAACAATGTGCCAGACAGCGATCATGGCTCCTTTTAAGTTGATGCAAAAAGATACACAGGAATGAGAGAAATTGCACTTGAGCTGGTAGTTGATAAGGAGACATTTGTTTTATTATAGGATATAGGGTTTCCGTTGGAGTGACTCAATCAGCAATTAAGGAAAGAATTTTATATTGAGATAAAACTTAATTAGTTGGTTCCTTAAGTTAAAAAAATTCAAGTCAAGGACACTGAGCATTTTTTTCTGGACAGACTGTTTTCCTTAACCATGATCCAGTTTGAAAACTAAGTGTTACAGTAAAGATGCCAAAGTGGACTGGTAGACTGAAGAATACTGAGAACAAGTTTTCTATCTGGGCCTTTTCCCACTTACTACACTTGGAGACATTTCTATGTCAATAAGTAGAAACTTGCTATTTTTTAAATAACTATATCATATTTGGTGTACATTATCAAATTTGTTTTGCCGATTTGGTCAATAAAGTTAAAATATGTCAAAGTGCTGGCTATCACCAATATGCAGTACTGTCAGTAATCAGGACACTTGATAAGCCATGCTTATAGAAATTCTATTCAGGGGGTGAAGATTGGGAAGATTGGGCTGGGAAGGTGGCTCAGTGGTAGAGTGCTTGCCTTGCATGCATGAGGCCCTGGGTTCAATTCCTCAGCACCACATAAGCAAAAAGAAAAAAGCCA